CTCAGGAGGCTTAAAATAGAGAACTAGGAGATGATTTAGTTACAAATCCATAGGAAACTAGGCAAATAAACAAAAACAGATTTTTTTTAACTCCAAGGAAAATAAGTAGAGCAAAAAAGGAAATGTCAGCATAGTAACCTATATGACTCATCTACAAATATCATTTAGTAAGTCATGATAGTCAATACTGAGCTAATTAAAAAAAATTGGGGGGGGTCAAGTTCTCATTGAGTCACCCAGACTGGAGTGCAGTGGCACAGTCATAACTCACTGCAGCCTCAACCTCCTGTACTCAGGTGATCCTTCTGCCTCAGCCGCCTAAGTAGCTGGAACTACAGGCACGCATCACCACATCCAGCTTTTTTTTTTTTTGGTAGAGATGAGGTCTCACTATGTTGCCCAGATTGGTCTCAAATTCCGGGGCTCAAGCAATCCTCCTGCCTCAGCCTCCCCAAGTGCTGGAATTACAGATGTGAGCCACCATGCCTGACCAGTAAAAAAAAAAAAAATTTAAGAGATAGGGTTTCTCTGTGTTGTCCAGGCTGGAGACCAGTGGCTGTTCACAAGTATAATTCACAGCCTTGAACTCCTAGACTCAAGCAATCCTCTTACCTCAGCCTTCTGAGAAAAATTTTGACACAACAATACTGTCAGGATGACTAAAAGGAAAGTTTGCATGTGTGATTAACAGGTAGTAGAATCATGAGATAGAGAATTTTCTTCTACTAGGATACTAAGAGATAAGACCTAAAACTGAAAAAAATTTAAAGTGCATGCTATTTAGAGAAATGAAGGCAAATATCTAGAGGAACAGCTATAAAAGTTAAAAAACAGTTGCTTCTGGAAAGTGAAAAGTGAAGAGTGGAGATAGGAACCTTTTTTCTTTCTAATGAGACTTGTGTAATTTTCTGGTTTTATGTAGCTGTATAAGTAAAAAAAAAAAAAATTCCCGCAAAAAAGACTCCTTTCTGGCTGTTTCTACACTACACAGCAATGGATATCATTTGCAAAATAGAGATTGCACCTTTATTTTTGTTGTTCACAAAGCTCTAGCTACTCCAAAGACCTTCAGAATTTCCACCCTGCAGCCTACAAGGCTTCTTTTTTCACCTGCTGTGTTAGTTGTTTTACACCTATCACGGGTTCTTTCTTTAGAATGCTGCTGATCTCACTCAGTCATTCACCCCAAACTAATTCTTAAAATAAATAATACTTGGTATTGATTAAATATTGTTAACTCTACAGTTGTTATGTAGGCCCAGATTAAAGACATACTAATATCTAAAAGGATAAAACTACAATTCTTCCTACAAACCTTTGTATGTTGAATATTTCTAGCTCCACATCATATAAGGTAGATAGTCAAAACAACTACTGGCTCTTTGTTTGTTTTGAGTTGGAGTCGCACTCTGTTGCCCAGAATGGAGTGCAGTGGCACCCTCACTGCCAACACAGCCACAACCTGCCGGGTTCAGGTGATGCTTCCGCCTCAGCCTTCCAAGTAGCTGGAACTACAGGCATGCACCACCATGCCCAGCTAATTTTTAATTTATTGTAGAGATGAAGTCTCACCAAGCTGCCCACGCTGGTCTTAAACCCGCAGGGTCAGGCAATCCTGTCACCTCGGCCTCGCAGAGTGCTAGGATTATAAGCGTGACCGCTGCACCCAGCCCAACTACTAGTTTTTACTGCTCAAAAAAAATATTTATTTCTAAACCTGTCTTTTAAAAAATAAATGCATCAAGTGTGAAATATTCAAGGCAGTAATTGGTTGCATAAGTGAATTTGTTTTAAATAAAGATCATTACTTTTAAAAATAATGTATGCTCAAGTGTGTTTATTTCGATAATATTAGCTAAAGACATGACACAAAAGATGTTTTTAAATGATTGACTTAGATGGACCTGAGATGGAGGAATAACTAATGTCCCTTAGTTTTTCTCTCTAAAGTACAGAATGTGGCCAAATAAGATTTTAGTCATATTATTATTTGAGATGGTGGCATTATCAGTTTTTACCCATTAAGAAACTCAAACATTTGTGATTTGATTTTAAAGAGAAACTTAAGTCCCAATAAAGTCATAAAGATGTTCTCCCCAAAAGAGAGTGGAACTCTCTCTACTTTAGTTCGTGGTGCTTAATGTGGAATTTTCAAAGGCAAAAATACAGTCAGTGGCATTTTTACATTTGGATGAGAATGTCAGTTTCAAGAGGCCTGATTCTCACCAGACGCGTTGTTTCACCGGAAGGAAGCCCCAAATCCACAGGCATCTGCTCCTCAGTCCACATTCTTTCCCATGGCACAGCCTCACCTTCAGGTCAAGGTAATTATCATCACGTACCAAATAATAACAACTACAATAAGCCCGCACATTTACCAAGCACTGAGTAGCTCCTTTAACCCTCCAGCTTCCCAAAGATGTGGGCGCTCAGACTACCACCCCCACTTTACCTGAGGAACCTGAGGTACAGAGGTTTCATAGCAGCAGTCCAGGGTCCCCAGTCAGCGGTGGCAGATCCACTAATTTCGCTGAAACCGTACACTGAACTCCTATCTAACACATTAACTGCTTATGGCGAAGTAAGGGGACTCCATGTATTTGAAAAAATTCCCTGAGAACTTTGTTATCAAGCAACTTTCTCTCCTGAAACTAAGGAATTTCGGAGGTGGGAGATACAGCTTAGAGAAACGATTTTGTCTTATATTTCTGAATATCTGTCAGGTCTGTGTTGGAAATATGTTTTAGAGTAAGAATCCTAAAATCGTAGCCTTATCACCTGTCATACACACAGGTCAGTCGAGCAAACCTTGACCACTAAATGCAAACTTGGAAGAGAAAAAAAGGCCAAGAGACTTGGGAACATCTAGGAGGCTTTAGGGAGTGAAAAACCATCAGCAGCAGCCACTGCAGTCTCAGTCTTCTGAAGCCCCGGGAACATCAGCCCCCAGGTCCACCAGGGCCCTCCTGTGCCCAGGCCTCAGCCACTCCAGCAAGGCTGAGGGGCCTGTGGCCGCCATCTGCCCTCATCTGGGCCGACAGATCTCCTCGGCCTTGTGCCCCAGGTCACGTGTGCTGGGGACCACCGCGGACATTGGGACCTACCGAGCCGTGGCATTACAGATTTAAGAGGTAAAGCGCGAGTCTCGCCCGTAGGGGGACACACCCCCATCCCCCAGCCCTGGGAAGTCTCGGATTTCTAGTTCAGGCCCTGGAAAGCTGTGAGCTGAAGAAGCAGGTTCCCGGGCCCGAGCAGCCGGAGGAGCCGCCGAGGAGGCTGCGGTAACCTAGGGACTGGGAATGGGGAGAGACGCAAATGTGGGTTCCTCGCCCAGGCGTGGCACGGCTATAGCCTTTGTACACAATGCCCTTTTTCATAATCAGCAAAGCCCTGGTGCCTCCTACTTGGCTGGCAGGGATTCGGCGCAGATAGCCCGGAGTTCGAGAGTTCCAAACGTGTCCTCGCAGCCTGTCCACACCTCCTGCTTCTTCACTCTAACGGGTGCGTTCACTCGGGTCCGAGATGGCCAAGATGGGCAGTGAGGGGTGGGGGAGAATTCTGCTGCCTCGATAGCTTCTCTGCTCACTCTCACAAGTTCCCGAGGTCCTCCCCCCCACGGCCAGCGCCCAGGTGCCCGGCCATGCCGAGTTGTGGTCAGTCCCCGCGCCCTTTCGGTCCCACCAGCGTGGCCCTGGGGTCGCGGTGAGGTTTGCTGGGATCGCACCAGTCACATTCCAGTCGCGTGCGCGCCAAACGGGAATGGAGACCGGTATTACTGAGCGCTGAGCCTCCCAACCCCGACACCAGAGGAAGGAACTGCGCTGTGTTAGAATCTCAGCCTCCCTTCCCGCAGAGTCTACCCTGCAGCAAAATGGGCCATACTGGGGGCTACCGCGACCACCCGCTCCCTGTGGCCATAACCACCATCCTCAACCTTGAGCGCTTTGTCTAGTTTGGGTATTATTTCAGATCCCCAGAGATTCGTGGAGAAAACTTGGGAGGACAGGTGGAGAGGAGGTTCAGCGCCCGCTTTTTTTCCAGAACACGCTCCTGCAAAACCGAGCCCTAGAGATTGCGACGCCGAGCGCGCTGGGGGAAGTGAATGTCGCTTGAGTCCAGACCCAGAGAGGCATTTTTGGTGGAAACCACAGAAGCTCGTTTATAAGGGACTGAAGGAGTCGTGGAAGGAATGAGAAGAGTGATTCAATGAGCCTTTAAAAGAAGCCCGGGGTCTGTGGAAGGAGTAGCCAGCGTAACACCAAGAACCCGGGCAAGCCAAGTGGCGGCGCGCGTCTGCAGAGCGTCCGGCCGCGCTTCCGCACTAAGATGGGGCGCAAGCCCGCAGAGAGCTAGGTAACCAAGTTTTGCCTCGTATGCTACAGACCTCGTCTGGAGCAGGACACCGGGAGTGCGCCCCCTCATCGCCAGCCCTGCGCGGACAAAGTGGGAATCAGGAGGAAAAAGCCCAGGTGGCTTGACAGCACCTGTCGGACCTGGGCACGCGG